CAAAACCATACATCAGGACTATCAACTTTTACTTTGACTCTAAAACCCGAAGCCAAGTCCAATCTCAGAAAAGAACCTAGTTCAATTCTGTCAAAAAAAATGATTTTTTCTACTTTGTCCACCACTATCCCACATGACAAACTTAAGGCATTTTAATTGCATTAATCTTTAACCTTACCGTAAATGTACATATCACGTTCATGATTAAACATACCTACATCAAAGCGGACATAGATCATACTAACGAGAAGGATGTCAAATGCAATTTCATCCGCAATTATTGAATGGAAATCTCTGCCGAAGTGTATTATGGAATGTTTTCATCCTATTGTAAATACGCTTCCCGGGGGGGACCCACCATGTTCAGAATGTAGCCTACACTAGATGAATAGTGGCACTCACACATACCTTGACCGTTCACGACACTTTGCACTGAACACTACAAGGATGCTGTCGCACATCTCTTCTTGTTTCACCATAGCCAAATGGCTTTCTCAGATTTGTGCAAGAGTTACCACTATTTTGGTGCCTTGATTATCGACCTTGATCACAATCACTCTCTCGTGGGACCTGACGAGGCAGAGCGATCAACAGCGATTATGATCAGAACAATGAAGACTTCTGTGAGAACTGTTTTATCACTAACACTTTGTGTTCAGACACCTAGAAGACTGCCATTAAGAGACACACACCAATCCATTACAGGTCATTGTGCTTTCATTTCCAGAGTGTTTTCATTTACAACAAATCGTGTTGCTTAATCATTAATCACAATAACGCTACAGTCTATTATGAATAAAACAAGGCGGTGTAAGATGTATTTGTGAACAAACATGTTTTTCAGTAGGAAAGAAGAAAAAGGATATTTCGCATGGTTGAGTGTCCGAAATATGGTTCACTGTGCATTGGCGATTGTAGTATACATTATATACAATAAGTACATAAGCATAATGTTTCTCTGGTCAATTATATGTTTCTATGGTCAATTATATGCACGTACATGATTAGTGCTAATGGCATCGTGAACCATGATGTCCTAAGTAGCGCATCCTGTGTGTAGATTACCAGTGCAGCGATAATAGATGTAGTCAGATCACGTGACTTGCAATAAGTTAGAAGTTGTGTCTGTCAGGAATTGTTGCACATGTACAGTGAGAACAGTGTTGCGTCTTCGATAGATTAAATGACAGATATGGCATAAATGTGAACAGACTCTCCTATGAAAAAAAAAATATGTGTCTGAATAGTGATGAACATAAAGGATGAATAAGCATTGCCAGGTGCCATGTTAACAATTGCAATGACATCTAAATCATCAATCAATTATGAAGATTACTTTACGGACTAGATAACTTGATGTGCAGTTTTGAAATTGTTTGATAGCTGCGCCAAATGCCATCTCCAATCGATATAAGAACGTACATATAATTGCAAAACACTTTTGCCACAGGCGAGTTCCGTCTATCGTGAGTTTTAAACAACAAACACTCCGTGTATTGATAAACACCAAAACAAAAACAGACGAAATGTTTATTCAAGTTTGGATCCATAGATTTCAACCCGTATTCGATTCTTAAAAAAATGTTCAATGTTAGAATATTGATATTTTTCTGTAAGGTTTTGTTCTTTAGAAAAAAATGGCTTCTAAATGTTTACTGTGTTCAATAATAGACACCAACTGTATATTAATCGTGGCAAATATCGGATTTATCTAAAAACTTTGATAACATGCATATTACGTTCACTCAAGGGGCGGTCGGGTAGCCTAGTGGTTAATGCGCTCGCTCGTCACGCCGAAGACCCGGGTTCGATTCCCGACATGGGTACTATGTGTGAAGCCTATTTCTGGTGTGCCCTGCCGTGATATTGCTGGAATATTGCTAAAAGCGGCGTAAAACCATACACTCACACGTTCACTCAAACATATTCCATGTCGGTTGAAGAATATCCCACAACAGCTAACAAAATAGCTTTACCTTGAACAATAAGAAACTGACCCTACTGTAGTTATGTAAAACATACCGCATTGTGGTTATTTGCGTTTTGTTGCTTAACTTCTGCTATATTCCATCTATTTTTAACGTGTTACTACAATATTGGTAAGACGGTTTTCTCAGCTTTGGCCCAAACACTGTGATATCACATAGACTGTAAAAGTGTAAGGGGCGTACTTGTCATAATGTCGATTCCTCCGTGTTGGTTTGAGTACGTTTATTTCAGTACCAAAGGACGTATATATCCTGCTTCTGTCACTGGATGAAACGAATACTGTAATGTATCCAAATAACTGTTGTTGGCGCCATATTTTCAGATGAGTTTGTAGTTTTTATGTGGGAGGGGGTGGGGGTTGTGCCATTCAAGTATTTGTGCTATAAAAGATCCGGGTTCGATTCCCCCCATAGGTCGATGTCTGAAGCCTATATAGCAGCATTAGAAATAGTAGCAGTTGATATTACTGTTAGAACAGCTGTTGATGCCGTCGTGTATATCGCGAACCACTTGTAAACATACCTCAAACGGAAAGGCACTGTGTAAAGTCAACCTCGACAGTCAGGTTCATTTAATGGTTCTGGGTTCCACAGAGCAATTTCATCTCACGATGCTGATAAGCTAGTGGTTCGCAGGGGGTTTATAACTTATTGGCGCCCAGGACGAGATCCACTGGTCGGATGATACGACATAAGTGTGATTGCTCTGTAGACCCGGTGCTTCTCTCTCCCAGGGATGTTACTGCTGGATAATTCAGGTAGTCTGAAAAAGTCACTTTGCAGTCCACATCTCGCGACGCTCTTAATTTATGTTGTTAATTCAGGAGGCATATGAGACATTCTATACATGTGGTTTCCAATTGCTCCAGTTTTTATCGAGCATGTAGGTATATTTACTGTTATTATGTATCTGTTTCCTGGGAAACAGGGACGTACACAGGGGCGGGTGGCACTATTGTATGACACACCGCAATTACATGTGCAGAATTCATGGGGTCGACGAATAGTCGTACCAAAATTCAACGATCGTGTGTTCGAATGCAAAATTTGTGTTAATTAATATCCTTGGTTTATCATCATCCTACCCGTGCTGAAACTACTTTCCAAAGCTCTATTCTCACTTGCGCCTATGATAGACATAGTTTGCAGTGTCAGGAGGAAGACGATTAGGTTCATATGTATATGTAACTAAAATACTGTTACAAATGGCCGTTAAACCTATTTCATTCACTCACTTGTTGTTTGTATTAACAACCCTCAACCTGAAGGCTTTCGTTCAATAATTGTCAAATGGAAAATTCCATTTCACCAACTTACCGACCCGAAGAGATCAGTGTAACCACCTCATCTGTTTCATATTTAGATCTATGCATAACGATTCAAAGTGATATTAAGACTCAACTTTCCCTTTGTGTCAAATAATATTCCAGCAACTCCACCTTTTGGTGTCTACATTTTATAACTTTCGAGGTACAATCAAGCATGCTCTTTCAGCGACGATTTCAAATAATGAGTGAGTGAGTTGGGTTTAACGCCGCTTTTAACAGTATTCCAGTTATATCGCGGCGTGTCAGCTTAATGTGGGAGGAAAGCCCGAAGTGATGCAGGTCTCAGACGTTTACAATTTCGGTGAAACCCACGAGCACGGGTATGAAGCTGACAAACCTAGAAACATAATCGGGGCGAACCGGGATTCGAACCCACAATCATAGGTTTCTGGCGTGTCCAAGGGACGCAACTCTGCACAGCAAATCGCGGCGCCTCAGACGACTAGGCCACCCGTGCCCCCGATTTCAAATAGCGTGATCAGTTGCATGATTAGGGTTAATTATTCATATAAATGTTAGTTATTTTACCCTTAACGCCAGATTAAATCTGTTTCGACGTATAGTCACGACTGGCCATTGTTTGAAGCGACGTTCTATATTTATATGTACAACATCTAAGACCTTAGCAAGACCTCCAAGGGCGTTGTGGTAGACATGTGGAGGACATTTCCATATGCATCAGTACATCGATGATAAAAATAATGTCCGATGTCCGACTCCCGTGTTTGTTCAGGTGAACAATTGACTTGTGTTTCTTTTCGCGGACGCCTGGTATCATCACCATGTGGGTGAGGTGAGGTGAGGTGAGGTGAGGTGAGGTGAGGTGAGGTGAGGTGAAATTGGGTTTAACGTCGCGTCCAAGATTATTGCACTTATACAGCGACGTGCATGCACGTGTGTGTCTGTGGCTGCTTGTACTAGTCCGGACTGATGCCGTTTTATAGTGCTAGCTCACTGAGATACCATGCCGCAGTTTAACATGAATACCCCACTCAGACACAGTATACTGACTCCGAGCCGACCAGTCCTTGTTTTAGCCCTCTAATGTCGAGCGCCAGACAGGGTAACAACAAGTACCATCTTTTAACGTCTTTTGGTATGACGCGGCAAGGGATCGAACCCCGGACCTTCCGCTCTACGGGCGGACGCTCTACCACAAGACCATGGAGGCGGCTCATCACCATTTGATAGCGATTCATTGGCACAAGCCTCTGATACAAAAACAGTCGGAATCGTAAAACGGAATCTGCTTTGAACAGATATTTCCGTGGACTGTGGACATGATTTTGTCGCTTTATTTTGTTTTGTACTTCTATAACACAACATCAATTTCCTCACGCCCCGAATGACATGGAGAGCATCATGTAAGCATTGTCCAAAAATTATCAGTTTGAATACAATCTATTTACAAACATATGATATAATATATATATATAATCAAAAACTCAAAACGGAGTAGAAATGTGGAACTCTCATCGCAATACAGATTAATTTTCACTCAAAGCCACTGTAGGCGGTTAGGTTGATCACGATTCCTTTAAACCCTACCGCCAACACATGTGCAGCGACTGATCAATAACCTGCATAGGTGTTGCAAAACCTGGCGCTACCGTCACGTGATTAGTAATCACCGTGTCCGCTCCCGGACACCAGGTTGTCCTCCCATTGCGCGTGTCCGCTCCCGGTCGCCTGGGTCGCCCTCCTTGCATTGCGCGAGCCGCTCTTCCCACTGCACAGAGAGTGTCAATCTCATCACCGCCGCTCACAGCTCCACACTGCGTCACAGGCAGCCCACGTCGCAGGCCTGTGGAGAGAGAGGCTTGTTCATACCAGATAAAATATTTATACTTGTAGAAATGATTCCACAAAAAGGATTGGCATTTTCTAGATTATGGGTGATTAGATTGGGAGAGTGAATTCAGTCGTAAGCTCTTTACCATTCGAATCATTCAAAACACGTACAAAAAATAAGTTACTAAAACATTATGTACAAATGTTCATACAAGTTATTATTAATCAGTTGTTTTCAAAGGAGTGTCTGAATCATAACACTTGGAGCCGACATATCGAAAGACGCAGTCTACAGATCGCTATGGAGATAGTTTATTGACCAACGGAACACCAACATCGTCGTCTTCCACTGTGGTGATCTAGGTACTGGCATCCAGGTCCGCAGTTCAGCACAGCTGCTGCAGCCAACCTAGGAGGGTGAATGTACCGTCTCGTGTAATTACCCCGTACTTGGTCACCAGGCCACGTTGTGCTCATAAAGGGGCTAAAGGTTAAATCCGGTTATTACCAAACAGTCAGGAGTACTACTATCTTTCACCCTCCAGGATGTTTTTATTACGAGCAGGATACCGAAAGATACCTGTTTCCAAGACCTGCGGTGGTAAGTAGAACTACTCTCAACATGTTCACAAGTTTATGTATACTTTGAGTACAGCTGTTTCAGTACGTCATTTGGTTGTAAAGCGTCTATTTCTTGTATATTTTGTATTTCGAAGTTAGTTACATTTATGTTACCAGTTCTTGTCACTTTTTATGATGCCACATTTTTGTGTCCATCATTCGTTATCGGATTCTGATACATGACGTAGCCATGTTTCCTGTCCACTCTGACGCTGACACAAGGAAGGTAGGTTTTAGAGAGCAGCAAAGGCTAAATGTTAAGACAGAGACCTGACGTTTAAATGAGTGATAAGAAAGGATTTCATTTAGTCCTTCCGACAGAATACTGCATGTCTGATAGCATAACAGTGTATCCAAACTGTAGATACAAAGGAAATATTAACATATTATCTGGATCTACAGTGTAAGTATTTGTACTTGCAGAGGAAAGCGTCCAACTGATAAAGCTTCCTACTCATGTCGGTTAAATAAAACCCAAAAAGACTTGGTATTCTTCCATCATTCGTTTTTGGAAGATATTTTCGTTTGAAGCAGTTTGTTTGAGATTTCTAATAGAGTTGCCCTGACAGATATGGGATGCGTTATTCCAGCATACATTTGAAAGGTAGGTTGTCTAAATGGGGGATGACGTCTGTTGGACTAGTCTGTAGGATGGGGAAGTGGGAGGCGGTGTTTAAAGGGGCTATAGTTTTGGGTTGCATCCTTCCAAAGCCGCACATGAGATTTACTGGGAGCTTGCTTATCAGCAGTTGCGATCGATCACAAAATTAATTAGCATAGCACATTTGTCACACCGTGTCTTGTCGCTGCCTTAAATATGATACCATTTAATATGAATTCCTATTCTTGCCATTAGTTATGATGTTCTGATAAGGTATTGTGTCACAACACTCCTGATATATTGCGCTGACGTTATTTGTATGACATTTAGAACCAACGTTTAACACATATCACGGTCGTTATTGAAACGACTTAAACGGCCTCATGAATTAAATATGTACCGCAGTTCATGTTGTTATGTACCAGAAAAATCAATACAATTTGTATACATAAATTAAAACGGAACTTTGTCTTATTTGGTAAATGAGTTTCAAATGATCATGTACACAGGGACGGGATATTTTATTAACCATTTGTCATCTGTCATCTACTGATCGTGAACGCCATGCCAGCGGTTTCATCGTTATCATACAAAACAGAGTAAGAAAAAACTGTCATGTTTCTGCATCAGTTGTAAATGGTTCATTGGAGCACACGTGAATGCTGGTAATCTATACGCTCGAACTGTTACCGAGTTGCACATGGTGCGTCATCGATATCCCAATTAGAAACCAGTATGTTGTTGATACGTGATTTAATCAATATTGCTGGTGTCCATGATCAGATCTGTACAAAACAACAATACCTTCGTGCCCCAGGTTATGGCCGTTACATTGCTCAAGATGGCGTAAAACCAAACTCATTCACTCACTCAGTCTCTTACTCACCATTGCCCCCGAACCATGAAGATTCCGGGGTAGAGTAGGTCTTCAGGAACCCATGCTTGCCGTAAGAGACGACAACGCTTCTCGTAAGAGCGACTAACGGGATCAGGTGGTCAGGCTCGCTGACATGGTTGATGCATGTCATCGTATACCAATTATGTAGATCGATGCTCATGATGTCAATCGCTAGAATTTCTGGTCCAGACTCGATTATTTACAGACCGCCGTAATAAAGCTGGAAATATTGCTGAGTGCTGCGTTAAACTACAAACAAACAAACAACACCATAGCCCCGTATTAACCCTGGTCATGTGGGACGTTTGTCAAGTTTTTAAATTTATATTTAATTTTTTGTTTCTAATTATTATAGAAAAGAAAAGGTATTAGATAGCTTTGTGTTAAGGGATCAACATGAACAGTTTACAAAGCTATACTGGTTTCCAAAATGAAACAAATCTAAGCCAAAATTGTCCCACTGACAAAATTTATGATTGCCAAGATGTCGGAAATTAAGTTCACATATGACATCAATGAGTCAAATTAGTATATAAATAGCTCCACTTTATTCCTACCATAGTCTGGTGTAGTGGCGCGGGACTAAAATCAATATTTCTAATTAGCTTGAACCTGTGCGCAGTTTTGCATAAGGTATGTACCGTATGGCCTACCAGGGCCTTGTACTACGTGGAGAATGCAATTGAACATTAACTGTCAATTAATAATAAGATTACCCACACAAACCATCGCAGACGTTACATTCAGTGGGTGCATTTAGTGCCTGTAACATATTGTGAATTGATAATGTGCCGGGACATGTATTTCACAGTACAAAACAAGCAGGTAATTATTTGAAAGTGTGCATGGTAACGTTAGGTAACATCGGGGCTCCAGGAGGCGGGGATCAGATCCGGGGATCAGATCCGGGGCCTTCTCATATCACTTGGACTGTTACAATTTGTTCAAATCAAACTGAAATATTGGTTGGATCGATTGCATATCACATGCTCCAATACTTCTATCAAAACATTTTGTTTGTTTATTGGTATATCCTTGAATATAACAGTTATACATGCTATTTCTTTATTAATGTACTTTATGTTACACTCTGTTACACTCTCACTGTGCAAGTGACATGTCTAAGATTATCAACCAATCACAGGGTCAACAACTGATATTTGAACATTATTTTTCATATTTTCAAATATTTTACAGATAATACTTACACAAAAGTGTTTATACATACCTCAGTCGACGACAGATTGACAGATCTATGTCTTTTTGTATTGTTGAACCGATGTAAATCGGCATAGTTGATGGCCAAAAATATTTATGATATTCTATTGCGATATTTTTTAAGACATCAGCCATAGACAATCTGTGGGATTCGAATTGCGAGACACGTCCCTGCAGTCTGCACGTGCTAATGGATATTATTCATTCAGTTGTTGAGCGTTCAGATAATCGTAGCACTTGCAAAGTCAGTACCTCGTGCGGCCAACATCTGCATCCACAACTACATCCCCTGTGATGAGTGAACCAGGCAGTATTTTACTCACACTCGTGTAAGGTGTCCGTGGAATGACGGCTGGAAGCCACGCTTGAGGTTAAGGCTTCTTCAGACGTGTTCATGCGTGTTTAAATCTTAATTAACTAATGGCCATATAATTAAAGGCGACAATACTATTTCCAAATCACACAAAAATTTGAACGTATCTTCCTTATTTAGTTTTATGTTCATCCGCACAGTTGTATAACACAAGGGAAAACAGTAGCATTTATCACAAATTATACCAAAGGTTTGTACCTGGTTTTATGGGTAATGATACCAAAGGTTTGTACCTGGTTTTATGGGTAATGCAGCGGTACAAGAACTGCCAGCATTTCAAGTGTCTGTCAATTAAATTAGTATATATATTGCAGATAGACGTCTGATAAAGTCGTCATCATAACTGCAGCGTTTGAATACAATTACTAGTCCTTTAGTCACTTGTTTGATAAAGCTGTACAGTACCATGTACCATACTTATAAGAAATCTTTGCTAAAAGTGGAGTAGATTGTACGATTCCGAATATTTCATGAGCATGTATTCCCGATTCACTATCATATAGTGATCGTACCAGGTCTTCGTGAGTGTATCCTGGCCCACAGATGGCACCCGTCACAAACACATGCACAGGCAAATTGTTAACCTGAAAAAACACACGGTAACACATGGTCAATTCAAAATAGGGAATTGCATCGAACATCAATTTTGTCGGTGATGCGTCAAATTTGGAAGTGTCTGTCATAAAACGTTTTGAATGCCTTACTTTGGCCTTGAATGTTTTAAAAGAGTCCTTATGTCACAATGACGTAACTATGGATTTCGGTGTGAGCCAGGTAGTCCTGCGCCATGACTGTGGAATATATATTTGTTTAGGTATGTTGTTTACCAAAGGCCTAGGCAAGTCTAGATTAAACTAACCAAGTCCAATTTGCTTGATTCCACACCAGCAGAAGAGGAAATAAAATTATATATTTTAAATACATGTTTTCATTGACAAAGTGTTAGTCAATGAGCTAAGCAGTATGGTCACATACCTCATCCTGCTGAAAGGGGTATCTCTGGTGTCGAACAAACATGGCACAAAATTGCGATATATCTGCGAGAACAGATGCCCAATACACACACACTGACCCTGTTCTAAAATGCTTGGACCACCCCATGAATATCTATCTGTCTTCAATACCAGAACATCATACATCGTCTGCCAAGGCCATACACAGCCATCAGCTGTCACAGTGGAACTGCATGTACATGCTTTCATCTGAGCCACGATTCTCCACTGCTGCTGACGGAGGCAGTTGGAATGCTGCTGACGGAGGCAGTTGGAATGCTCCCTCGTCCTCTGTAGACTGTTTTGACAAAGCCAAGTTGCATGGAAGCCTGCTGGGGCTCGATGTCCACAAAAGATGCCACAGGCTGCTAGGGGTCGCCTGACTCTGTCATCACCGAATGGCCAGTGATGCTTGCCATGCGTCTATTGAACTGTTGCAGCTGCAGTTTGGAACTTATTTTTGCAACTGTTGCCAATTCAGTTGTCCGTCGGGATGCGGCTATTCATCCATGATTCTTGTTGTATTGACAAGTTCCTGCAAACGTTACGTTGTTGTTGAAGGCATTGAAAGATGTTTTCACCATGGCCTGAACTTGTTGATTTCGCCGTCGTCCCGGTTTCACTAATAAGCTGAAGCGCAGGATTGCTATTTCAATGATGTTTTGTTCCCCAAAACCTCCACGTGCAGCATCTTTTAAAAGTTGACCTTTGTTGTTGGTTTTTTGTTTTGTTTTGTTTTTATTTCTTTTTCTATTCTCAAAACAGTTGCCACGGGTTTTACAATTAACCCTTACAGACGTATATCTTGTCTAAGCACACTTGAAACAAACTCATGTTTTTCAGCTTTTTATCTTACTTCTTTATGTCAGTAACATGTCGAAAAACAACAACGATGCCT